TGTGTGGGACCTGGCTCTACGATGTGGTGGGACAGGCTGCCTGGCTCCTGAGGTGTGTCCCCGCCAGGGCCACGCCCACCTCTCCAGGTAGCAGCTTCTGGGGACACCCCTGGACAATGGTCAGGGTCACTTGGTACCTGCAAAGCCTTGTTTCTGCCTCCAGTTTATCCTCTGGGCTCCCAGCGAGGGGAGCCCCCGCTGTCCAGTCTGTCAGCAGATGCATCTGTCCCCTCCCTGAGCCAGGAGCTCTTGGGGGATTATGGCAGCCTTCTTCATCGGACACGTCTGCAGGCATTGGCTGTGGGTCGGCTCCCCAGAGCCTCCAACCAGCAGGCCTGAGGCCAAGGTGGGGTGTTGGCCGTGGTTTTCCTTTTGCCCAGACTCTCACTGCTTCCTGACCCTGGGGGCTCTGAAGTGGGCTGGGGTGATTGTTACCGGGCTGGCAGCTTCCCCATTGTCCTGCCCAGGCCTCCTCTACATGTATCAGAGCCCACCCCATGCCCCCCCTCCGCGGGATGGGAGAGAACACAGGACGGGGTGCAGCAATGTAGCTCGGGAGGCCCCTCCTTACCTGGAAAGAAGGGGACCCAGGACGTCTGTCAGTGGGGCTGTGGGCCTAGGCTCCCTGTGGATCTCAGGGGTTGCCCTATGAACCCATAGAGCTTCTCTAGGGAGAGATGGGTCTGTGGCCTTGAGCAGGTCCTCAAAGGAGCCTGTAGCCAGAGAGAGGACAGAAACGTGCACTGCACACTCCCATGCACGCATGGGAAGCAGATAAAAGTGGACTATATAAAAAAAATAATTAAAAAAAATAAGAGCTCCCCCCACCACAGGCCCCGTCTTCCAGAATCTGTTGTAACAGATTCGCCCAAGCTGGTTAACGGTATTTGCGGTTTGCAAGATGCTACACGTCCCTGGAAAATGACAGACAACTTATTATCACCTCTCCGCTCTCCCCTGCCCAAACCTGCCCGTGCCGGGCACCCAGCTGCCGGGAGCGGGCGCGAGGAAATTAACAGCCACAGAGCCGCCCGCGCCTGCCACCCGCAACCCCACGCCAGCCCCGCCAGGCCCTGGGCTCCTAGCCAGACTGGGCCATCGTGGACTCTGATGGGGGGAGGGAGGGGGAGGGTCCGAGTGGGGGAGGGCAGGGGTGGGCATACACCAGCATTCGGGCAAACCATTTCCTGCAGGCGCAGAGGCATACGCACATCCCAGAGCAGGCAAGTCCAGACGGCTCTGTGTCAACAGCCGAAGATAAATAAGATTTTATCAGCTCAGAATCTGTTGAAACACATCCATCTAGCGGTTCTAGGGAAGGAGAGGCAAGAGGGAGGGAGGGAAAGGAAGTGTCTTTACGTGACCTTTTCTATAGAATAGATGGGACCCAAGAGTCTTCCTCCCCATTGCCCAGGGCCTGGGGCCCAGGAGCTACGGGGGGAGGAGAGATGGAGCTGGCGGAGGGGTGGGGGCTCACGCACTCTTCAACACAGACCTGGTTATCTGAGAAGCCTTTCATCTCCTACAGGCCCCCACCTGGCCCTACCCCAGGTCTGGCCCTCCTAGGGCCCCCTCCTGCCCCTGTAGCCCAGCCAGATGCTCAGGGTATAGGGAAACCCCGACAGGGCCGGGCATTCTCCGTGGGCTCAACCCCCTGCAGAGATGGGGCTGGCCTGTGCACGTGCCCAAGGCCATATTAGCAGCCAGCTGGGGGTGGCGGGACAGGACCGGGACTGGGGACACCCCTGTGGGAGTGGGGCCAGGCCCAAGGCCGGTGGTGGCCTTGCAGGGGACACAGAGGGAGAAGCCGCGCGCTCTCTCCTCGCCCAGCGTCTCCGACGCGGGTACCGCGGACAGCTCCCGGCGGCTCCTCCCCGGGGCGGGGCGACCCTGGCGCGCCCGCCCCCCGCCCGCCCCCGCTGCCGCGGGTCTTCCTGTTTTCCCGGGAAACCTCCGCGGGAGTCTTGACACGAAGAGCACCCCTGGGGCACCCCCGCCCCACTGGGCTGCAGGACCTCGAGAGGGGGGCTCGGAGCCCGGGCCTGCGCCTGGAGTCCTGCTCCATCCTTGCTGGCCAGGGAGCCAAGGCTCCTGACCTTTGTGGGGTCTACAGACCCCTTCGGGGCAGCTGCGGAGGGAGCAGGAGGTCGGTGACTGACTGACGGGCGCCGCTGGGTGGTCGCTCCCGGGAGGGGACTGCAGGGTCTGCACGCCCCTGGGGGCACCTCAGGCCTGCTCGCAGATGGGCCAGGGACCCTCTCCCGTGGCAATGATCACGGCACAGAGGAGCCCATGGGTATTACGCGTGGTCAGTTACCGCCCCGCCAAAGCCTGGAGAGGTTCGTCTCCTGGTTTACAGCGTCCCAGCGGCCAAGCACGAGAGCCGGACCTCAAAGGCCATTCTCCCGCTGCTCACCTGTGACTATGACCTGCTCCCCTCCCAGGCCAGGCCTTTCCTCAGCGTGTCTGCCCACTGAGCCCCCACTCAGGGATGAAGCAGGACCCTCTCTGAGGGTCCTCTGCATGCCCTCCTCAGCCCCAGGTCACCCCTCACGGGACACTTCCGTGGGCCTTGCTGGGGTCCCTGCTGACCCTGCAGGGGACAGGGATGTCCCTGGGAGTCCACAGCTGCCTCAGAAGGGCTTGGACCCACTGGTCACTAGCTGAGTCGGGCCAGCACCAGGCCGCGTGGTCTCCAGGTGCCTCCAGTAAGTCTGGATCCTTCTGCAGCTGGAAGGAGCGCTCAGCCCATCTTCCCCAGCGAGTCGAAGGGCCTGGCAAGTAGGAGGCCCCCACAGCGCTTGCGGGCTTCACCGTGTCATCAGTCGTGTCAGGAAGGTCCCTGCCACCCAGCTGAGGCTCGTGGTTGCCTGTGGGGCCCTCCTTCACCAGGAAGGTCCCCTGGGTGACTGCTCTCCTGCCTCCACAATGCTTGCCAGGCAGTTCCCTGCCTGACACTACCTGAACGTTGTGTGAGGGTCGGGGACCCGTTCTGAAGCCTCGCTTGCGGATGGACCAGAGAGCTGGGTGTGAACGGCCTGGCACCTGGTGTTTGCTTTGGGCTGAGCTGGGCTGTTCTGGGCACAGTCCTTGGGCAGGGTGCCAAGCTTATCGCCCACCCTGGTGCTTTGGGGAGTGATGGGGATACTAGAGGTCAGCGGACACCCCTGGGAAGCAGGACTGACCCCCACAACAACAAGCAAGCGGCCCCCCACTCCCCTGGTGGCCCCTCAAGCCCACCCTTAGGCTTAGCCCACCGCTGTTTTCTGCTTTCCCAGCCATGCCTCACCCTTCCCCCTCCCAGGGCTGTGCGGAATCATTCTTTCCTGCATTCGAAATAGGTCTGGGGACTCTGCTTCCCCCCAGAGGTGGGGTCTCAGGTATTGAGGTATGGGGTGGCAGGCTGCACTGGGCTCGGGGGACCCCACTGAGTGGGGCACCTGTGAGGAGGTGAGCCCCAGGGGCATCCAGTTCCCATCCGTGATGGGGGTGGGAAGGGCACTTACTGAATTCAGCACCACAGGAAAGTTGAACGGGGCCCAGCACCCCGAGGATGCCATTAAGGAGACCTCAGCCCACTTGTCCCCCCATGCCCCCTTGGACTCCACTCTGGGGGTGGGGGAGTGTTTCCAGGAGGGAGCCCTGGCCATCTCGTCAGGGGGGGATGGCTCCCACTGTGGGGCCCAGGGTTTTGAGGGCCCTGGAGTCCCCCTGGTCTCAGGCTGTGGGTTAGCCTCATCGCCCTGCATTTGCCACCCCTTGTCTTTTGTATACTTGGGAGTTGCTAAGGGTATGAGTCCTTGAGGGTCCACAGTGTCCCTTGATGACCGGAGAGGGAGCTCTGGTGGCCAGTGGGGGTCTTACCTTTGCAGGATTGAGGGTGTCAGGGCCCTCAGCTTCCTTGGGGGCTTAAACCAGCCCTGCCTTTGCCAGCAGCTCCGGCACCCAGCCTCGGTTGCCCTGACTACACCGTGCTGGGTACAGGTCCCGCCGTAAACCCTAAGCCCCGGTCTGTGGTCCCCAGTCGGCTGCGATGCAGCACGTGGTGGTGGCAGACCCCAGCCGGAAGCCTCTGTGCGGCACTGTCTCCTGGTTCAGTACACTTTCCCTGGCTGTACTGCAGTGGGGTGTGATGGGGCAACTCCAGGTCGCTGGGGCTTTGTGGGGGGCGTGGGGATTAAGGGGCGGGAACAGGAAGTGTCCTGCGAGTCAGGATAGGAACACGTGCCTCCAGGAAGGAGGCATGAGGAGCCTGGATGGATCCCCAGAAGCCAGTCCGCTTGGAAACCAGTGGGCACCCTGTGACCACCATCAGGGTCACCTTTAAACTCACGAGAGCTGGCCAGGGTCCTCAGGTGGGTGATGTGGTCCCCTGGGCACTGATCCTCCCTGAAAAAGGGTCCCGAGTGGCAGGGACTGGAGCTTTGAGGCCAGAGGCCCCCACACCAGTGGCCCCTGCCGAGCTGCTGAGCTCAACCACTGACACGCTGCTCTAGGGAGTTCCTTCCTGAAGCTTCGGGGCACAAGGGCACCCAGCGTGTCTCACACACGTTTTTCATCAAAATGCCAGGAAAGCCTAACTCTGGGTTTTGAAAACAAATGTGATGCTGCAGATTCCCTCCTTCAGACCACTGCGGTCCGGGAGCTGAAGGCTGACCGTGGGGAGACCCGGGCTTGGCGAGGCAGACCCGCCTCCCAGCCCCCACTCTCCAGCAGCTCCTCGCTTCCCGGACTTTACTGTCCTCACCCCTAAGAGGGACGTAGTGGTGCTAACCTCTCCAGCCAGAGAGATCCAGACAGAAAGCCCCACTGTGCTCCCTGCACCCAAACCGGCCAGGTGCCAGCGAGTGGGTGAGAGGTGCCCGGAGGAGGCGCCTGGAGGAAGGACGGCTGGAGGCGTTCAGCGAAGGGGCCAGCAGGTCGTTGGAGGGCCGGGGTCTGGTCTGGACTGGGGACGCTGAGCTGGGGCTGGGCCTGAACCCTGCCCCCACCCCCACCAGTACTCCCCACTGCTGAAGAAGCTCTACTGCCAGATCGCCAAGACCTGCCCCATCCAGATCAAGGTGTCCACCCCGCCGCCCCCGGGCACCATCATCCGGGCCATGCCCGTCTACAAGAAGGCGGAGCACGTGACCGAGGTCGTGAAGCGATGCCCCAACCATGAGCTCGGGCGGGACTTCAATGAGGGTGAGACCTCCAGCCCCTGTGCCCAGTGGCCGGGACACACTGGGCACCCCGACCAGGGGAGGGATGGCCTCGCCCCCCTGGCTGGGAGGCAGCAGTGGCGGGCAGTGTGGGCTCCCCGTTTCCTCTCCCCAGCCCCCTTACGGCACCTGGGTCCTTGGGCGTGGGTGCTCACAGGACGGTGGGCTGCTGGACCAAGCACTCCGAGGGCCCGAAAGCTGGCAGCTGGTCCCAGGAGGCCGGTGGGGCCCAGCTGGCTGCAATGCGCCTGCCACAGGCATAGCCAGACCCCAGCTGGGCACCCCTCTGAAGCGCTGTCCCCTCCCGGCAGGACAGTCTGCTCCGGCCAGCCACCTCATCCGCGTGGAGGGCAACAGCCTCTCCCAGTACGTGGACGACCCCGTCACGGGCAGGCAGAGCGTCATGGTTCCCTATGAGCCCCCGCAGGTAGGCCGGGGCCCCTACAGCCGGCACAGGGTGGGGGCCTGGCAGTCAGAGAGCAGTCACGTCACCTCCGATCCTCCGTCCGCCTGGCCAGTGGCCCCAGCGTCTCAAGGCCTGCCAGGGAGCAGTTCCTTGCCCTCACCCACCGCCCCGGCAGCCAGTACCCATTTCTGACCACTTGTGCGCAGGTCTAGGTGGGGCCCCCTTGGGCCCTCTCTGGCTGTGGGAGAGAGACGGGTAGGGTGCAGGCAGGGTCTGGAGGTGAGGAGTGAGGCCAGAGTGGGTGGTGGGTGGGGTGGAGAGGCCCCCACCCCCGCCCCGGGGGCTCTGCTATGACCTGAAGGCAGCAGCAGGTTCGGGGGCTCCTGTGAGGGTCCAGCTGCCGTGAAAAGCTGGCGATGGAGTCAAGTAGGGGTGGGGGGCTGAGCAGGGATGCTGGGCTGGGGGTAGGATGGGGGAGGGGGCTGGGTCGCAGCCCTCCAGCCTGTGCACCATGCTTCCCAGGGTGAGTGGGCGCAGGGAGCCCCCACCTTTCTTCTGCCTGGCTCTGGCCCCCAGACCGCGCTCAAACCCCATCTCTGTACCTGGCCAATCGGACCCCCCAGGCCCCCCACCTGCCATCCCTCCTTCCCCAGCCCTGCTCCCACCAGCCGGAGCCCCCAGGAAAGCAGGGCTCTCCCGCCCTCTGGTGGCTGCCATGTGCCAGCAGTTCCGTGAAAGGCCGGGTTTGCCTCCGCCAGCGGCTGAGTTTTATCTTCTGACCCAGGGAGACAATGACAACTGCCCATTTTGTGGTCCTGGGATGCCCAGGGTTCAAAAGTCCTGGGTACATGCGTCAGCTGTCCACCGACTCCCTGGGAAACGGCGCAAGAGCTGGAGATGGGGGTCCACTCGGATGGCTCTGGTCCGTCCCTCTGCCAGAGCAAGGCCGTGCTCTGTTCTGCCCAGGAGAGCCCACAGCAAGCAGAGCACACACTTGTGCCCACAGAAACCTGTGCACCTGCCGTGCACACCCAGCCTCCAGGGCTTGACCTCTAGTCTGTGTTACGGGAGATGTTGGAGCAACCAGACCACAGGGCCCTGTGCTGGGAGCCTGAGTGGCGCATGGCGCTCTGCACTGCACGGATGGACGGACGGACGGGCGGGGGGATGCACGGATGGTCTGGATGGTGGACGAGTAGGTGGGTGGATGGTGGGAGTGGATAATTTGGATGGATGGACAGACGGACGGCGGTGGATGAGTGCGTGCAGGTGGGTGGGTTGGACGGGTGGGTGGACAGAAGGTGGACGGATGGATGGATCGATGAGTAGGTGGGTGGACGGAGGTAGGACATGAGGTAGATGCAGGCAGGTGGATGGGTGGAGGGCAGAGGACCACAGGGCAGGGACCGCCTCCACCCCATGCCGCCCCAGTCAGAACCCAGCCCAGGAGCCCCCACCGGTGTGGTCTGGGGCCCGCACGCCGACAGCCCGGCCCTGCCCCCCGCCCTGCTCTTGTGTGCAGGTGGGGACAGAATTCACGACCATCCTGTACAACTTCATGTGCAACAGCAGCTGTGTGGGGGGCATGAACCGACGGCCCATCCTCATCATCATCACGCTGGAGACCCGGGAGTGAGTCTGCTGGGCACGTGGGCGGGGGCGGCTGGAGCGGGGGCTTGGGGCAGTGCTGCTGGGGCTGCACCTGAATCGAGGGCATGGTAAGGGATGGCGCTGGCCCTGGAGGTGAGTTTAAGGAGGGGCAGAGCCCCCCAGCCCCACCCCGGGCCACAAGGGCTCCCTGAGCAGGAGCTGGGCTTCAGGAGGACGGCAGGGGACCTGGTGTCCCAGAGCGGCCGGGAGCTCAGGCGTCCCCTCACCGGCTCATCGAGAGCCCCCGGGATGAGGTGGCCGGGGAGGATGAGCAAGGCTGGCAGGGCTGGAGGCAGGTCCCCAAGGCTCATGGTCCTGGCTGTGCCCCCCCCGGTCCCCCGCCAGCGGACAGGTGCTGGGCCGCCGGTCCTTCGAGGGCCGCATCTGCGCCTGTCCTGGCCGAGACCGCAAGGCTGACGAAGACCACTTCCGGGAGCAGCAGGCCCTGAGCGAGAGCGCCACCAAGAATGGCGCCACCAGCAAGCGCGGTGAGCAGCCTGGGCGGGGGCGGGGGCTTGGGGGCCTCCCGGGATGTCAGCCAGAGCGGGACAGCCTGGGGGTGCCAGCCACAGGGTGCCCTGGCTCCAGCGCCATCTGGCACGACCCTACCCTGGGTCGGGCCCTCTCGAATGGGTTACTGGTCTCCAGGCCCGTCCACGGTCACACGCACGTGAGGGTCAGCTTGCACCGGGTGGTGGTATCCTGCGGGCCTGACCTGCGTGGGGCCTGCCTCCCCTTGCAGCCTTCAAACAGAGCCCGCCTGCTGTCCCTGCCCTGGGCACCAACGTGAAGAAGAGGAGGCAGGGGGACGAGGACGTGTACTACATGCACGTGAGTAGCCCTGGTGTCCTCCGGGCTGAGACCCGGGGCTCTGTGGGCAGCGGATGGGGCGCCCGGGGGAAGCAGCTCCCAGGCAGCGACTCTGGGGGTTATCCTCCCCCACACATGAGAAGGCCTGCTGAGATGGGGGGTGGGGGGCGCAGACCCCTCCAGGGGACAGTGCATCAGGGATCACGGTGTCTGTGACCCCACTTTCCATGGCCGCCGCGTGGGTCAGAGCGCCCATGAGCTCTGCCGGGACGGTTCTTCTGTTTTGTGAAGCTGATTCCACAATAAGCCCCGGGTTCTCCAAGCTCCCTCTCTGGTGCGTGCCCCGCGCCGGCACCCTGAGTGTGTAGAGCCCCGGGACAGGGAGGGGGGCATGGTGGGCCGCAGCATGCTGGGGGCTCCGTGAAAGGCCCCCGCGACCCTACAGGCACCTGTGCCAAGGGTCCCCCGTCTGTGCTCAGGTGCGGGGCCGGGAGAACTTCGAGATCCTGATGAAGGTGAAGGAGAGCCTGGAGCTAATGGAGCTGGTGCCGCAGCAGCTGGTGGACGCGTACCGGCAGCAGCAGCAGCAACAGCTCCTGCAGCGGCCGTGAGTGCGCCCCGCCCCGCCCCCGCCCTGCTGACACCGGCAGGAAGGGTGGATGAGTCCACTCTCCCACCCCCCCACACCCTCATACCCCCACCCCCGCCAGGGCAGGTACCCATGGCCCCCACCTGGTGCCCCCTCCTCCAGGCAGCCTTCTGTGCACCACACTGTCTGGGCCTCCGCCCCACCTCTCCCACGGGGGCCTCCTAAGTGTCCACTGACCGGGAGGCGGTGGGGAGGGGGCTCAGCACGGCAGCCCCACGGGCTGGTTACCGCGGCAGGGCCGGCTCTCCCCTCAGTGCTCTGAAGGGCAGGCGGGGGCCATCCGGCCCAGGTCTGGGTGGGAACGCGGGCGAGGAGGGGCGCCCAGCGCATGGGGCGTCGCAGGGAAATGACCAGGAGCTGTCGCTGTCTGAGCAGGAGCCACCTGCAGCCAGCGCCCTATGGGCCCGTCCTGTCACCCGTGAACAAAGCGCACGGGGGCGTCAACAAGCTGCCCTCCGTCAACCAGCTGGTGGGTCAGCCGCCCCCGCACGGCTCGGCGGCCGGGCCCAACCTGGGGCCCATGGGTGAGCGGCTGGGGCGCATGGGTGTGGCTCGGGCAGGGCGGAGCCCAAGCGGGCTGGGAAGGCACAGAGTGTGGGTCCGGCTGCGGACGCTGCCGCCCAGCTCGGGGCTGTCGGTGGCCGCCTCGCACCGGCAGCTGCTGTCCACGGGCGGGAGGCACAGCCGCGGACAGTCCTCTGTCCGTTCCCCGCCACGGGGAGGTCCGTACTGTGCTCTCTTCCCAGTCGTGCAGCGCCAGGGAGGCCCGACCCGACTGGCCCTGACAGTCTCCACTGCCACCTGCCTAGGCCCTGGGATTCTCAACAACCATGGCCACGCCCTGCCGACCGGCAGTGAGATGAACGGCAGCCACAGTGCCCAGTCCATGGTCTCGGGGTCCCACTGCACCCCACCACCCCCCTACCACGCTGACCCCAGTCTGGTCAGGTACGTGGGCTGCTGCTGGGTCCTGCCACGAAGCCACTGACCTCAGCCCCTCTCCTGCCTCTCCTCGTGCCCATCTGCTGCGCCAGGGGAGGGCCCGGGGGGGAGCACCCAGCAGGTGCTTGGGAGAGGGCGTGAAACACAGGGGCTTGTGGGGTGGCCGTGGGCAGGCAGGGGCGCCAGGCCACACAACCGAGCATGTGCTTGGAAGGTAGAGCCGGTCCACACCCGCCTTCTCCCCGCAGTTTCCTGACGGGGCTGGGGTGTCCGAACTGCATCGAGTACTTCACGTCCCAGGGCCTGCAGAGCGTCTACCACCTGCAGAACCTCACCGTTGAGGTAGGAGCCCGCCCGCAGGCGGGAGCCCGGCGCCCCCGCCCAGGGCCCAGCCATCCTGTGCTTGCTCCCAGCACTCCCTTTCCTGCTCTCACCGAAGGAGGGGAGGTGGGGAAATCCAGGAGAACAGTTCTGAGACCAAGTCCACCTCCTCTCTCACGTTTGGCTTCCTAGCAAGTCAGCCTTTGAGGTGGGGGCAAGGTCAGCTGCGCAGGCGGTGGCTGGATGGGACACACCCCCCCCCAGGCCCCTGGCAGGGCGTGGCTCATGTGGCTGTGAAGCCGCCCTCAGACCCAGCGGCCGGCTGCCTATGATTTGGGGGACAGGCTGTTCCCAAAGCACAGAGAGTTGCCAAAGCCAGAAGGGTCTCGGAGCTGGTGCAGCTGAGTGCCACTTACACGGGGAGAAACTGAGGCCCACAGAAAGCAAGACAGTCCTTGCTATGCGCCCACAACCACAGTGGGTCCTGGGTTCAGATGGTGCCGGGCTAGAAGCAAAGGGCCATGGCCGACCTCTGGGTCGGACAAGAATACCGGCAGGGAGTCCCTCCTGAACTGTGAAAAACGTCACTTGCTCGCAGCCTAGGGCTGTCTTGAGCTCTAATGTGTGGTTAGCCAAGGGAAGCTCAAGCCTCGGGAGCCCCAGATCCCAGGGGTTCCAGCTCCCCGGTGGCCGGCAGGGGCTCGGCGCCCCACCCAGGGCTGCGGGCCAGGCGCTCTCCCCTCCCATCCCACCCACTCCTGCCTGGGCTAGTTCCGGTGCCTGGCTTGGCGGGGAGGGCGCGGGGGCTGGGTGATCTGCTCTGGCCCCCACGGGGCCTGCCAGTCCACAGAGCCCAGGAGCGACGTCACCCCTACACGCACACACCCCTTCTCAGCTCTCCGGTTACGTTAGGGAAGGCCACGGCCTCCTGCGTGCGGCACTGGCTGCCCCGTTTCTGCCCCGCGCAGTCCGCCGCTGGGGGGCGGGGGGCTCCTGGGCGGGGCCATTAACGGTGGCCGCGGCTCCCGCAGGACCTCGGCGCCCTGAAGATCCCTGACCAGTACCGCATGACCATCTGGAGGGGCCTGCAGGACCTGAAGCAGAGCCACGACTGCGGAGCCCAGCCGCTGGTCCGCTCCAGCAGCAATGCCTCCACCATCTCCATCGGCAGCTCAGGGGAGCTGCAGCGGCAGCGCGTCATGGAGGCCGTGCACTTCCGCGTGCGCCACACCATCACCATCCCCAACCGCGGGGGCCCGGGCGGGGGCGCGGGGCCTGACGACTGGGCCGACTTTGGCTTCGACCTCCCGGACTGCAAGTCCCGAAAACAGTCCATCAAAGAGGAGTTCACGGAGAGCGAGATTCACTGAGGAGCCGGGCTCTGCAGGAGGGCACGGCGCAGGGCCGGCGGCGGCGGCCCTGGCCTGGACTCCCCGGGAAGCCTGGCTTTGTCTCCTCTTGCTTTTGTCCAAGACTGCCTGTGGAGGCCGGCCCGCAGGGAAGGGCGAGGCCCACCCCGCAGCACCCTGGACAGCGGACGTGACGTGCCGGGGCGGGACCTGTGCCCTGTGCCCTGTGCCCTGGGTGCTCCCGAGGGCTGGCGTCACCCTCGTCCTCCTTAGGGCTCCGTGGCTCCCCAGCGGGATGCTTCAGGACACGAGGATCCCCTCAGCTGACGGACTGCCAAAGTATTTTTCGATGTCTTTTGAGCGGCTCCAGGATTGTATCTAAAACGTGTTCATTTGGGGTTGATGTTTCAGACCCTGTCTCTGCCCAAGCCTGGGTCCCTCTGCCGGACTGGAGCGTCAGTCTGTCCCTCGCTCTTCAAACCAGCTACCTTCCACCTCCTGCCCAAAGAGGAAACCAGAACCTCCCTGGAACTGGAGGGGCCCAGGGGCCAGTGCGTTTGCCATGTGTGTGGTCCCTCCTGGGAGGCAAGGACACTTCTGGTCAGTGGCCACCAGCCAACACCCACGCCAACACCACTGGCCATAGCTGCCACCCTTCGGCGACCTTCACGGCACAGAGGTGGACAGCATGCTCATCGGAATACTGGAAATTGTCAATATTTGATAAAACGATACCCTTTGTACTTGGCGGGTCAGCTTCCATTTTATTTTTTGCTTTCATCCTTGATATTCCCTGCAGAGTTCAACCTGCATTCCTGGCTCCCCAGGTCTGCACAAACAAGCTGCGCTAGAACAGAGGACGAGCCAGGCGAGGGTGGCTTCCCACTCCGACGCTGGACGGGGCAGTGGGGCAGTGGAGGGGCGGGCTGGGTCCACCTGCCGTGTGGCTGCGAAGCTCTCCACGTGGGACAGCTCCGCTCCGTTGGCCGCGCTGGCAAACTGGGGGCAGGGCAGTGCGTCACCCTTCTCAGGGCTGTGGGGAGAACCGTTCCCAGGCGGAGGGAGCAGTCGGCAGGAAGGTGCACCGGTTGTGGGGCTCGAGGAAGCCCCGATTGGGGAGGGCCCTCCTGTCCTCCTAGGGGTGGTCCTGAGGCAGGCAGTGGGGCTGCAGGCTTTCACGAGGACCCCCGGGCGGCAGCGGGCTGGGGGCTGGGGGCAGGGGGCAGCATGGAGCCATTTTCATTTGCAAGGAACCTCATGAGCCTTTGTGGCCAGCACACGACAGACCCAGCATCATGTCCACGGCAGGACATGCGGCCACAGAGACGCCGCCTTGTTCCAGCAGGCAGGAGAAAGGCCCGCGGGGGTGCCAGCGTGTGGCTGTTCCCAAGCTCAGCCAGCCCCTGCTGCGCCTGTGGAACGTGGGTGAGCCCCTCCCGCGAGGGTCCCCGCTGACGCCCCCACAGAGGCAGACAAGCCTCCAGGCTGGGGAAGGTGGACGCGCAGCCCTCGCGCCCTTTAGGTGTGTTCTGGCTGCCCTGAGCCCCACGGGAGGCGCCTTCCTCTTCAGGCCCCGTGTTCATAGGCGTCCAGGACTCCAGCTCCGTCCCACTCGGCACAGGACCAGGAGTGGGTGGGAAAACGCCAGCTCCCCTCCCCCGTGTCCGTCCTGGGAGAAGGGGGGGTGTTCCTTGCTGCGTGGTGGTTCAGAGACTGGCCAGCAGGGGAAGGAAGCCCCAGAACAGAACCCAGGCCAGCCCCACCCCAAGCCCACCCTGGGGGCCACCTCCAGACCAGGACTTAGCCTTGGAAAGCTGTGCCCGTTCCTGTGGCCAGTCTACACTGACCGAAAGCGTCGTTTGTGCGGATGTGAGCGGCTGCGTCTGGGGTAATGCCGTTGTCCCCCACCCCGCCCGTGCACTCGCTGGGACCAGCTTCCAGGGCTGTCAGCGCACCAGGAGGCTCTGACCCTCAGCAGGGGCCAACCGGGGCAACAGAACCCACTCGTTCCAACGGGCAGCAGACTCTGATCCCTAGCCCAGGGGGGCTCCGTGCGCACGGGGCTCTGCCGTCTCCCCAGGGAGCTGCGCGCCGCACGAGGACCACGGTCACGGGCCGCAGACTCGGGGCTACTGGGGGCTGTGTGCGGCTGCCTGTGCCACCGTTTTCTCATGTCATGCCTCCCCAACCCCCCTCTCCACCGCAAGGCCGGGGAAAGAAGTACACTGTCGTGCTCTTGCCTTGGGCGTCAAGGCTGGGCTGGAGTCTGGCAAGCGCTCCTTGGCCACACCTGGGGCTCCCCAGTGGTGCCCCTTTGTTCCACCACAGGTGCTGGGGACTCATCCCCAACTTGCTGGGGTCTGCAAACCTGGCTGGAACCCAGCTGGATGGGGCAAGCCCAGGGCTCTGTCGTCTTTGTCTCCGGGGCGTGCTCCTGTGGGCCCCAGTCCAGCAGGAAATGCCACAGGGGACGCCACCGGGTGCCCAGGAAAGGGCTGGAGAGCAGCAGGCAGAGCCCTGAACATCAAGAGGGGAGGGAGGAGGTCATCCTGCCACGGAGCCCCGGGCCACACACGCCGTGCTGGAGCCTCTCTCTGTGCTGGAGGGTGAGCACCTTTGGGGAGAACAAGGCACGAGAATCACTCGAGTCGGAACTCGGGCCTGCTTAGGAGACGGTGCAAATGGTGAGGAGCAACACCACGCAGGCCTGAAGCTCTGGGTCTGCAGAACTCGAAAACCAAGAACAAATAAGCCTTGAGGGCAGGGGTTTTTCCAGTGGTGAAGGGGCAGGAGGGACGCTCTGGCTGGGAAGCAGCCTGGAGAGGGAGGTGGGCTGCGCGCCCACACTGACACCGGCCGGCCTGGGCTCGGGCCAGAGAGCACGTTGCTGCGGGGGGGCCCGCGCCCCTCACGGCTCCCCACAGGCTTGGCTGCGTGCAAAGTTCGTCACCAGGGCTGGGCCGCAGGGGAGCAGTCATTTCCATGGCCCAGGCCCCCCGCACGCACGGATCAGGGACAGGTCTCAAATGCAGATGGCCACTTCTCTGTTTCCATAGGGTAAAGCACTTTAACGCTCTAAGGTTAAAAAAAAAAAAAAAAAAAAAAAAAAAAAACCACCCATGTTTTTAATGTAACTGATGCTTCTTCAAGCAGTATTAATGGATCTACTCCAATGATATTAACTTTTTTTGGTAATGTAATCTTGGGAAAATGTGTTATTTTTTTAGCTGTGTTTTGTGGGAAATTTTGTTTTTGTAACATAATAAAGAGCACATTCCGAAGGCGGTCTCTGAGTAACTCAGGACGAGAACGGCACACACGCCAGCGGCTCCCCACAGGCGGGGGCTGTGGCCTGCAGCAGCCCCTCTGTGCTTCTCCGAGGTTTTAGGTGGCATGAGGCCGTGGGCACCACAGAGCCGCGAGCTCAGGCTGCCTGGTCACAGGAGAGACCTGGGCGCCCACACGGGATTCTGTCGGCGCAAAGCTGCCTGACCTCACGGGCCTGACTTCGGCCTCGGCCTCCCAACCCCTCATCCAAGGGGCGGCCGGAGGTCTCGACTTCGGAAAGCTCACGCGGGGTGCGGGCAGACCACTAACAGCCCCCCAGCTGCCTGGAGTCCAGCACGTTCACGCTTCTCTGCAAAACTGAGAGCTTCCGTCTGCTTCCCTCGGGCCGGACGCCACGCCGGCTTCCCTTCTGTGCTCCCAGTTCTTAGCTTTCTGCATTTCCGGGCTGTAGGAGACGGGGCGATGCCCCAGCAAAATAGGCCTCGTGAGTCTGCTCAACCTGCGGGGGCCCAAGTCTTTTAGACATCACGCTAAAACTAAGCAGAAGAGAAAACACACAAAGGCCAGATGGAGCCATGCCCATACTCCTCTGGCACTCATGGAGGCAGGGAGAGCTCCGCAGGGACACCACAGGCAGGCAGGCCCGGAGAGGCCAGGTGGAGCCAGAAGAGGCCAGGAGGGGTCTGGAGAAGCCGGGAGGGGTGGGCAGGAGGGACCAGAAAGGGCCAGTGGGGGTCAGGAGGGGCCAGGAGGGGTCTGGAGAAGCTGGTGGGGGGCAGGAGGGGTTAGGTGTACCAACCGGGGCCCCAGCCCCACCTTTCTGGTTGGGCCCATTGATTCCCACCGGCTCCTCTGAGCCAAACCTGCTCATCCCGTTCCCAGAGTTGTCGTCTATCCCCGGCCCACTGTGGAGGGCTGAGCGGAACGTGCCCTCCCCCCATCGCTGAGACAGGAACCCCAGTGACAAACCCACCGATACCTCTGGACTGGATGGGAAACAAAGAAAGGCAGCGTCTGAGGAATGACCACGGTAACGCTTGCAGCACAAGGTGCTTTCCGTATCTTTGTTCAGAAACATTTTTTTAAGTAGGATATGAGCAATACAGCCAATCACTACGGATATATAAAAACGTCTCCTGTGTCCACTGCATGAGGCAAAAACGATGATCCGGGTAAAAGGAGACCGGCTACTCCGCAAGGCGTGCATCCCGGCGACCGGCACGTAGTGCCAGAGGAAAAGAGGCCTGGCAGCACGCTCGCCGCCCCTCGGGAGGAGAAGGGCGTCCACTCATCTCCCCGCCAACCTCCAAAGACCAAGTCTGCACACCAGCAAGAACAGGACGGGCTTTGACAGCGCGCCGGGACATCTCATTGGACCTGGAGGAAAGGTGCCGTCCCCACGCCTGCCTCCTGCGCGGATCCTTCCAGAGGACTGGCTGCTTCTAAGCACCGCTGCGCTGCAACTGCCCCAGACACCCAGGGAACCCTGCGGCCTGCTTCTTGCACGTGACCTTTAGTTTGCAGCGTGCCCCAGCCACCTCCAGCTCTGCGCTTCCCCCAGAGACAGCTTGCAGCTGCCCCTGCTGAGCCCACCCGGCCAATCCTGCCCTGACCCCCGGGCCCCACGCTGCAGGGGCTCCTGCAGGAAGCGCCTCCCTCACACATACCCAAGTTCCTCCTGTGAACTTCCCCGACCTTGAAAGGTTCTGAGACCGTGTCCGAAGAGCTCTCGGTACCCCTCCCAGTGGTGCCTGACC